TGAGGGGTTTGACAAAGAGGCCCTGCAAGCCTCTGTGGTGGATAGTGATACAATTGATACAAGTGATACAGGTGAGGGCCAATAATCTGCCCTCTGCCTCGGAACCAACCCCCCATCCCCGTGTGCCCAGCCATCTTTTCTACTAATGTAAGTGTTAAAAAACCTAATATTATTGATATTTCTCTTAATTATTAATTGTGTGTGCATACCATCATAAAATTAAGAAGTTATTTTTACTACAACGTAGGTATTGTGTCTGAAAAAGTGGAGTTTGGGGGGTCGGCCCGGTCTCTATTTCAATTAATCCCATGTTATGTTGTTCACTTTACGCGGGCCGCCGTGGGTTGAATTAACCGCGTAAAGTGAGGGTTCACTGTACAGTGGTCCCTCGGTTAACGAGCACAATCTTTTGCAGCAGGTTGCTCGTTAACCGAAAAACTCGTTAACCGAAACCATTGTTTCAATGGGTTTTTGGGTAATTGGTTCCAGCTCACCGAAAATTGCCTAAATTCAACAAAAAAAGGTAGAAAAGTACACTTACTTTGAGGTGTCTATGTAGAAGGCTCCTGGATGATGATGATGAGAATTAGAATGGGGGTTAAGGAGAAGGGAGAAGAGAAGGCATTGGGGTGGAAGAGAAGTCACCCCATGGCGCCATTTCACCCATAAAATTTTAGTTCTCTTTGTGTAATGCAAGATTATTTGCTTTAAATCAACACTGCACTGCATTATATTTTGTCAATATGTAAAATAAATTTCAAGATGACCAATAATTTGCTTACAAACACAGAAAAAAAGCATTTAGTTGAAATGAGTCTCAAGCAAGATGTTACCTCCACTGAAAAGACAGAGAGACTGGCGCCTGTTTGGTGTATTGCCAGGCTGGATGGCGCGCATGAAACTAGTTTCTTTACCTTCAATTATGTTCAGTAATTGTTAAAATGACTAAAAAAATTAATATTAAACTTTTAAAATTATTGAATAGTGTAAACTTCTTGATATTTACTAAAATAGTAAGGAATTTAAGCCCTAAAACCTATTACTGTATTGGCGGACAAATACTACAGCTGGTGGACCGCCAAGTGCAAGCGAAAACATGTTGAGGTCGGCTCGTAAAAAACTCGTTAATCGAGGGATTGCTCATTAACCGAAGTTAAAAATCTTATGGAAGGTAACTCGTTAACCGAAATCTCGTTAACCGAGGCGCTCGTTAACCGAGGGATCACTGTACTCAAAATAGTGAACTAAATGATTACAAAAATTTTTGTCTAGTGCAAACTACAGCATGATTATATTCAAATTAATCATTATCTTATAAGAATTCCAGCAATGTAAATTATAGTCTCCCAGGTCACTTCTGTGACATTTTATAAACAAAAAACAAAAACTCAATCTAAAGGACATAAATAAACAAATAAATACTTCACTTGACCTTCAGCGCCAACTGTCAAACATGTCATCTCCCTTTCCTTCCTCCCTCCCTCCCTCCCCTCCCTCCCAGCCAGGGTTGGGTGGTTATAGGCTTTCAGTTTTTATCTTGTATAATATCACAGACTAAAGTTAGGAGAATATAATTTGCACTGCTGGAATTTTTGCAAGACAGTGAATAATTTGAATATAAACATCATATACTTTGCACAAGAGATAAAAATGCTAGCCATTTGTAATAAGTTTCCTAATTAGAACTAAAATTTGTATGTCTAATGCGAACTATGGGATGTTTATATTCAAATTAATCACTATCTTATAAGAATTCCAGTAATGTTAACTATATTCTCCCATGTCAGTTTAGTGACATTTTATAAGTGAAAAACTTTAAGTCACTTTTAAGGACAGATAAATAAATAAGCACCAGACCTTGGCATCAACTGTCAAACATATCACCTCACCTCTCCCATCACCCCCCCCATCTTCCCATCAGCTGATTGCTAGTATACAAACCCTTTCACATCCCATAATTTTAGCTGTGGTGATTTATGAGTGTTTGTTTTAACATAATACTACAAAACTCAATGTTTTCTTTATTCTAGGAGATGGGCTGAGGTGCATCTGGGTAGACTGTTAGTGTTTTTAGTATTTTGTGCTTCTCTCAAGTACCAAACTAAATTATTCCATTGAAACAACACTTAGATTTAGTGCGAATTAGGTTTAAAGCGACCCCTCTCGTGTTATATCGACGTTCTACTGTATCCGCATTTTCCATCGACATGCCATTTCACTGTGGTGGCTGTCTACCATTCACCTCGTGGACATCTGCTAATGTTGGAACAGGAATTATTGGCACTACATTTTCAGACTGGGTGGACTCACTGCTATCATTCAGGATATCATCGGGCGGTGGTGTCCGGGCAATATCCACGGTGTCTTCCTGTGACGGCTGCCCTGCCCTGGGGATTCTGACAATCTTTCCCCTTTCTGCACCCCACACATCGGCAGTTGTTTCTCACACATTCACAGCTAATACTATTACTATTACTACTACTACCATTACTACTTTGCTGTCACTCGGAATCGAGTATGACAATCATCCAGCTATGATACAATGATATGAGTTACTAAAGATGTCACCTAGGTTGGTGAGTTTTAAGGTGATTAAAGAGGCCGATACGGGACCAGCAGAGTCGTTCACATATGTTGCACATGTGGAGGGCTCCATCTCGTGAGGGAGGGGCGGCGGCAGCATCTTTCCGGCATTGGTGCTTGTTGCCTCGGCATGCAGTCGGGCTAGCTCAAAAGTATTGACACCTTCTCGTGTGGTGCTCCTCCAAGCATTATGGTGTGGAGTAATTGTCTCCCAGGCGAAGGGGTCGATTTGGCATTTTTCAGGTTTGTCTGACTATTTTTATTCTTTTTCAGTTGCCAGCCAGTGTTACGTTTACTATTCGTTAGGCGACTGTAAAGTAGCTGCTTTGGCAGTCTACTGTCGTCCATGCGGGTAACATGGCCAGTCCAGTGTAGTTGTTCATGGATAATGGTAGCCTTGATGCTTCCACAGTTGGTGTCAGCGAGAATACTGGCATTTGTTCTCTTGCCTTCCCAGCGAACTCGGAGGATGAAATGTGGACTAAGTTGGTGAAAGTTTTCAAGTGTCTTGAGGTGTCTTCTGTATGTGACCCATGTCCTGCTGCCATATAGCAGGGTGGGGAGGACCACTGCTGAATATACAAGGTTCCACACAAAAAAGAAGAGACTGATGCTGTAACTCTTTTTATTTACCAAATTAAGAAAATCAACTGTGATTGCCTTCAAAGTAGTTCCCTTCTGGGTTGACACACAGCTGCATACAAATGCTGCCACAGTTCAAAGCAATTCTGCTGATCATGTTCTGTAAGGCTGTTGAGGAGCTCAGTCATTTTTGCTTTCACCTCTTCTACTGACAAAAAATTGGTTCCTTTGAGCACGGACTTGATCTTCGGGAAGAGGTAGAAATCGGAGGGAGCCAGGACTGGCGAATAGGGTGGGTGCTCAAGCACAGTGATGTTTTTATTAGCTAAAAACTGCTTCACACACAAAGAGTTGTGGGCTGGCGCTTTGTTCATCTGACAGCATTTATTTAACCATTTTTGCACAAACCTTTGTCATGTTCAATTCTTCCATTAGAATGTGTCGAACACTTTCTCTGTCTAAATTAACTTTCTCAGCTACCTTTTTCTAATCACATCTCGCACTTTTTCAATGTAATCATCAGTAACTGCTGTGCCTGGACGGCCTGGGCGGTCATCATCTTCACGGTTTCTCTACCTTCCGAAAATAGTTTGTGCCATTCAAAAACGCGAGCACGAGACATGCAATCTTCACAGTAAGCCTCAGTCAATAATTGAAAAGTTTCCACCGTGGATTTCTTAAGTTTAATGAGAAACTTGATGTTAACTCGTTGCTCAGTTTTGCAGTCCAACATTTTCCGACCGAGCGTAGGAACACGCCTATAGTACTTCAAAAGGTGTCCACTTGTACTGAGTGAAGCGATTGAGCTGAGCCTCATCACACTGTGATAGGTTAAAACATGTTCAATAACCATCTGTTTGTCCCTCCCCTCCCACTCTTGGTTCCCGAGTTACAGGATCAGTCTCGTGTCGGACCTCGTACGTGTAACTTTTAGATAATTTCAGCTCCCTACAGCTGAAGACACGGTTTCAGAGTCTGCCAAAGGCTTGAGATGCACATATGATCCAATGTTGGATCTCTTCATAGATTTCCCTCACTCTACCTCCATCTGACATTGAGTCAGGCAAGGTCCCCCTCAAATACTTTAATTTTCGTCTTTATTCGAGATATTTTCAGAAAATGGTCTTGATTTTCAATCTCGGAAAATTTTTGGAAAATTCCGGCTTTGGGAATGATTTTCCGAGAAAAATTTCAATTCAGCCTATCGGAGATTTCCGGATTTAATGGATTCCCGCTAATGGAGATATTGCTGTAGTTCGCTAAATTAAGTGAAAATAATGGAAAGGGGGCTCGAATTCATTTGTTAAATCATGAAAATACTGTAATTTATTCCCGAGCCCGACTCATCAACATCACACCTCCCCTGGGTAATAAGGATTTTATGGATGAAGGTGGTTTTAAGCTTAAAGTTTTTCTCTTATAACATGTCACAGAATTGACTTGATTTCACCACCACCACCAAGGCAGAGGGAGGCCAAAAAACAAAAAAAAGTCATCTCACTAACTTTATGTAAGCAGCCCTCAAGAAATAATTCATCACAAAATCTCAAGAATTGCTCCCAAGCCTCCCACAAAATTGGTGATAGCATAAAATCCTGATAATATCTGGCTCCAATAAGCTAAATTGTATAACAATTTAATCCACAAAATCTCACAGGATACAGAAATTCCAATAATTTATGGCCAAGTTACCATCAGGCTTTCTCCAACTTAAGCCCCCAAATGCTCTGAACAACCAAGGGTCCTATTCCAGAAACCTTTAAAAGGAGCTGAATGGATGTGTCACTAGACATTCATCTGCTTATGTAAAAATATTCAATACAGGTATGTCTTACCAATCGTGAAAACAACTGAGCCATATGGATGAATAAAGCTGCATTATTTGGTTCACTTCTATCCATCTCGCTATATAAGTTGCGAAGGCCCTGTGCTGCATCCTCATAGTTGCCCTGACGACAAAGAGCATACAGAGTTCGGTACTTTAAGGCTTCTACATCGTGTGGATCCATACTCAAAACCCTGAAATAAATAAAAATGCACTTAACTTCCTTTTTTATGAGAGTTTTATTTACATGTGTCTGTATGTACTGTTTGGGTCATGCAATTTGCAGGGATAACATTTTTTTAAATCCCAGTGAACTGCACATCCATGAAAAAAAACTGAGGGGTAATAAGAAAAATAGGATTAGGGACTTCAACTTTCGAATATGTAATGCTTTTCTGCTAAACTCATACCTGAATTATTTTGTCTGAGCATTCTCTCTCTCTCTTTTTTAGCAATTAATTCTCCAGAAAGAATTTCTGTAAACACATAAAACTTTATTTTCCTACAGTAAAATAAAAAGCATTATTAAGATCATCAAACAGAAATAAGAATGCTGATACTCTCCTAAATATCATACAGTAAAGTGAACAATTTGATTAATAAATACATACTCAAGACCAAACCCACTGGCTCCATATCTACTAGGAGGCAGTCAAACCCTAAGGTATTATACAGTCATGGAAAATTTAAATTAAAGACACATGTGAGTTTTTAGACCTGAGACTTGAAGATGCTATGAGAGCAGACTCAGATCAGGACAAGGTGTAGGCATTAAAAAAATTATTTTTCTCAGTGTTCACAAAAGAAGATACAAACAATCTCCCTGCATTTATGGAAAGATGAATTGGCATAGTGCAACACACATTGAATTCTCAGAAGAGTGTATTGTACAGTACGGGAACACCCCGGTTATCGCAATGGATACATTCCTAAAAGTAATTGTGAATAACAAATTTGCAATTGATTCATTGTAATAATAACAACCCTAATGACGCAACAGCTTAGGTTATACATACTGGTATGCCGCTAAATTAAGCAAAATGCATAGAAGGCTAAAAACAAATAATGAAAGGCAAAAATCATAAATAATACATAGCACAGAATTTACCGTACATGAAAACCATTAAAACATTAATAGATAAAACTCATAGTTTGTGTAGAAGGCAAACTTCCTCCACGAAGGAGAGGGCGTCCCCTCCCACGCTATCCACTCCTCCCCCAGCAACTTGGAGAGGCACTTACGACGAAGATCTCTAAAACCTGGGCACTCCATCAGATGTCGAACAGTCAATGGGACAAGACAGTCCTCACAATGAGGAAAGGGCATCATCTCCATTAAAAAACCATAAGTCAGCCACATGTGGCCAATGTGAAGGTAGGTCAAAGCAGTCTTCCAGTGGCACAACCGTCCTCCCTGATGTCCCCAGCCACCCAAAGTAGGTGGATGCCACAGAGCTTGTTTGCTTCGACAACATCCTACCTGTATTGCTAACTTGAGTGGATGGCAGCTCTTATTACCAACTTCATATCAGAAGCAAGTAGAGGGGAATGATGTGCCACAGAGCAAGAAGCAGCTGCTTTTGCCACAGCATCAATATACTTAACCCCCTTCTCTCCCACATGGGTCAGAACCTAGTAAATACTGACATTGTGGCCGCGATGTTGAATGAGAAACACCCAATCTGAACTAGCTATAACCTATGGATGGGGCAATGAGAAACTAGCTAGGGCCTGGAGAGCACTAAGAGTATCACTAAAAATTTTAAAATTGTTATGAGGTTGGGTAAAAAAAACCTTAAGCACAAGTAAAATACCTGATAGCTCTGCTGAAAAATAGATGCAATTGTGAAGAGACTACCGTTCCAATAGAAGTCGGGAAAGACTACCCCAAAACCCTTCCCTGCATCCGACTTAAGAACCGTCAGTGTAAACAGGGATAGTCCCTGTGAGAGGAGGCATGCTCTAAAAAAAAAAAAAAAAAAAGAGAAAATGAACAACACAGGGAGGGAGTAAGTCCTTCCTTTCATTAAAATACTGACAAAACTGAACTTCAAGGACAAGCCACAGAGCAGCACTAGGAAGAACAGGAGGGAGACAAAGAGCACACACAACCAACCTTACCCTGAAGCAAAAGGTCGTGGGAGGCTTGGATGCTGAGTTTAGTGTGGGGACATAATCTCATCAACTACAAAAGTGTTGGTTGCAGACCGCATAGGGCAATGGAGGTAAAACCAACACTGGACCTGGAGATACTGACATTGAAGATCAAGGAGTGATTCATTAGTATCAGTAGACTTGGGATTGGCGAGGACCTGAAGGCACCAGTTGCCAGGTGCACACCAGCATAATGAATAGAGTTCAGTGTATTGAGTCTAGCTTCAGTAACTGAGGAGTACTACACTTCACACACATAATACAGTTTGGATGTAATTAGCATGTGGTAAAGGTGTAGCAGAGTTCCTCGGTCAGCACCCCACGACAAGTGCCGCAAGACTCTCAATAACTTGAGAACTCACTGACAAGACTATTTGAAGTAACGAATATATGGCTCCCATGTAAGCCAGTTGTCGAAAATAATGCTCAGGAAACGGGTCTTTGTGAAGACTCGAAGGCATTAGAAATGTATGCCAACAGTCTTCAAAGGAGAAAATCTGAAACTATGCTCTGCGGTCCAACGCGCAACCTTGCCTAGTGCAAGTTGCATGTGACTTTCAGCCACTAACATTCAGGAAGCTGCATACGAAAAGGCCAAGTCATCTATATACAATGATATTGATACACCACCTGGAACTGATGCTGCTACCCCATTTATTGCGATGCCCTGAGGAACCCCGTCATCCTGAATATGTGGTGTTGACATTTCTGTGGCTAAGTGGACCCTAAAAGTGCGACATACCAAAAACTGACCTATCAACATAAAAAAAAAATTCTCATGGTTCTGGATCAAAACAGTCTGATTCTAGTGTAATTGTATGTGCTGAACTCAATTATGACATTCGTATAGCTGTATCAGGCTCAGTTTTCCAGAACCAGCATATCTATATACAGTTGTACCCAACTTAACGCGGTCAATTGAACCCAGAGGGTCCCGTGTTAAGTGAAATCCGCGTTAAGTGAACAACAGAACATATGGGATTAATTCCAATAGAAACCGGCCTGACCCCCAAACTCCACTTTTTGAAGGCACATACCTATGTTGTAGTAAAAATAACATCTTAATTTTATGATGGTACATGCACACAATTAATACTTAAGAGAAATACAGTCGCCAAGTTAATGTCCATTCAAATAATGGACTCAACTCCCTCCCTCTCTCACACTACACTCGCTGGCTCTTCCCTCTCAGAGAAATTTTTGGGGGAAAACCACTAAATTTTAATAAATAATACCTCAAACTAAAGTTAGGATAATACAATTGACATTGCTGGATTCCTTGTAAGACCAGGAATATTTTGAATATAAATGTCATATATTTTGCACAAAAGATAACATAGTTACCTAGAGAAAATTTTTTATCTAAAATTTGTATGTTTAATGAAAAATATATGATGTTTATATTCAAAATGATCACCAAATTATAAGAATTCCAGCAATGTAAATTATATTCTGACCGGGTAATTTGTATGAATTTTATGAGCTAAAACAAATATCTTCAGTTAATAAAAAAAAAAATAATCTTCACAACACTATCTGTCAATCAAAGTACCCCACCTTGCCTCCCCCCCTCTTCCAACCGCGCGGTCAGTCCCAACCCTCCCCCCCACCCCCCACCAATCCTCCCTTCCAGGGTTTTTAACATTTAGTATTAAATAATACCTCAGATTAAAGTTAGGATAATATAATTGACATTGCTGGATTCCTTGTAAGACCAGGAATATTTTGAATATAAATGTCATATATTTTGCACAAAAGATAACATAGTTAATTTGAGAAAAATTTTTATTTAAAATTTGTATGTCTAATGCAAAAATATGATGTTTATATTCAAAATGATCATCAAATTATAAGAATTCCAGCAATGTAAATTATATTCAGACCGGATAATTTGTATGAATTTTATGAGCTAAAACAAATATCTTCAGTTAATAAAAAAAATAATAATTCTTCACAGGGTAACAGATGGTCGGTCGGTCCCTCCCTCCCCCCCACCCCCCACCAACCGTCCCAAGGAGATGTGTGGGATAACCACTAAATTTTAATAAATAATACCTCAAACTAAAGTTAGTTTAATATAATTGACATTGCTGGATTCCTTGTAAGACCAGGAATATTTTGAATATAAATGTCATATATTTTGCACAAAAGATAACATAGTTAATTTGAGAAAAATTTTTATCTAAAATTTGTATGTCTAATGCAAAAATATGATGTTTATATTCAAAATGATCACCAAATTATAAGAATTCCAGCAATGTAAATTATATTCTGGCCGGGTAATTTGTATGAATTTTATGAGCTAAAACAGGCAGTCAGGCAGGGTGGGGCAAATCTAAAAATAGCGTCTCGAGCCGGACACTCACCGCGTATATGTGGAAAAAATCCGTGTTAAGTGAAAGTTCAGCTCTGGCGAGGCACCGCGTATATGATAAAACGCGTTAAGTGAAACCGCGTTAGGCGGGGTAATACTGTATTTAGTGTACCAAGCTATTCATACAGTAATTTATATGCTCATTGGCTCCACTTATGCAATTATTTTGTCCTGATTTGTGCTTTTTTGTTTGTTTCAGTTTGCTGATCCATGATATTGTATATCTACACCTGCATGATTTGTAATTACTCTGAAATTAACAAAACATGGAACGTCGCAAGTGTGTGAACGGTGCTGACAGTTTTTGCTACATATGTGGTGCCTTCACTCCTGGTAGCCTCAAGAAACCAATCACAAAAGCTGTTCGACTGAACTACAAAAGTTACTTCAAATGTCATTTGGGTGACCAAGACAAGAAATGGGCACCTCATGTAGCCTGTAAGTCTTGTGTTAACCACCTGAGCGAGTGGATGTGTGGTAAACGAAGTTCAGGAATGCCGTTTGCTGTACCAATGATATGGCGTGAACCTTAAGACCACAGTAGTGACTGCTACTTCTGTCTCACAAATATTAAGGGAATAAAAATCAAGACACGAGGCAAGGTACAGTACCCCAATATTGCTTCTGCAATCCGACCAGTACCGCACAGTGCTGAACTTCCAGTCC